AGGCTACCTCCACAAAAGTGGTTCTCCGCCTTGGTGTCCCCTGAAAGCCAACTAAAAAGGTGGTTCCCCAAAAAACAAACACGCCCATGAATGAGATCGAACCAAATCGGGCAGCGAAGCAGTCCCTTGCAATCACCCAACTAGCTGTCCTGCATATGCAAACCAGCGTCAGGACTTTAAAAAATCTCTACAATGGCCAACTAACAACAGCGAACCAGTGTCGGAGTACAGCAGACGTGCGCACTGGTTGCTAGCAACTGAGCTTCCGGCAAATGCATCCACATCGGCATATGTTGGTGATTGCGCGGCAGCCAGTGCCTGGCAGGATTGGACAAGACCAGCTGTGTTAAACCTTGCCATCCGCTCTGTCGAACATGGAATTCTGAAGTTTGAATAAGGGAACATGGACAACGGAATGTTGACGGTGGAGAATGGAGCGCGGAGTTCGGATTTTCACACAAGCCAAATGCACTTGCTTCTGGGCTTCACAAATAACTCAGTCATGTTGACCCCATATTGATCAACCCCTTCCCCTCCAGAAGCGGTCCGATTCCCCACTAAACCCAGGGACACCCCGTACGGAAAAACTGGGGTTGAGCAACTTGAGGAGCGGGTGAACGAAAGCTAGCAGTTGTTGCATGAGATGGGTCGGTGACAGAGTGGATTCATAGGTAGCTTGTGTACAACGAGAGGCCCGGCAAGATTCGTAGGATGCGACACGCAAACGCGCATGGTGGCGTGGCAAACCTTGAAAAATGAAAACAACGAGAGGCGTCAGAAGCTGTCTTAAAGCACCTCTGGGTTCTGCATGCTGCGTGTGCAAAGATTCTTGCGAGGTGGTTTACCGAGAAGACTGAGGTCTCAAGTGAACAAGCTGAATCGGTGGAACATGTAAAAGTTCGTAGCACCAAGTCCAAAACGGGCAAACCGAGACTGCTGAACACTGAGCCACTGCCCGGGGGGGGGGGGATGGACCAGGGAGGAATCGAGCCTGAGACCCGGGGGGGGGGGAGGGGGGGGGGGGTCTAAATAATTGATATTTTTCAATCTTTTCGGCTCAAATAATTGAAAAAATCAATCTTTCGGCATTTGAGCCCCTTACCTTGCTTACGCAAGGAGAAACTTCAGCTAGCTAAAGCTAGCTTTCGTGATATGGGGTCAACGGTACAACATGGAGCGCCAACGTCTTCTTTCTTGCAAAGCCCCTTACTGAGGCTTGGAACAGCGCAATTCCAATATACACGGAGAGCATGCAAAGAGACATATAACATGTCAATGATATTTCGTAGAGCGTTGACATATGAGCCAGGGGGAAGGTTCTACTCTAGTATGACGTGTACCAACGTTGACCCATGCCCTCAACCGACCCACCCGGTTATCCATTCCCATCTGCATGAAACTGGAAGCTATTGCTAGCAATGCTTCGGGTTCCAAGGTTCATATGCTTATGGGGGCGGAGCATAATCATCCGGCGGAATAGCCTTGGCCATTGTCACGAGAGCCTGTTCATGTCTGATGCAAAAGGATTATTTCACAAGACCTTTGCATGGAATCACCAATTCTGACTCCAGCTGTCCCAGTGAATGCTTTACCCGGTGTTGCACGTGGGAAAGCAAACATGGAGATCCGCCCCCTGCTTGTGTTTTGTGACCAAGTGCTTTTGGCAACACTCAACGTCGCCCAATCTCTTCCATTTGCCTAAGCTGGAAAAAAAAATGTCCAGTAGTAATAAGTCCCTGTTCAAACCAACAAAAGAAAAAAACAAGAAATCAAACATCATATGAGTCATAATCAAAACGCGGTATTCAAATGGTCGACCCAGAACCACGTGAAGAATTAAGAAGGCGGATATCCGCAGCTATTTATGGTCAGGATTGTCCCTTACTAACCTTCATCTACCCGGGTTTTGAGGACGTGACTCATATTGACTTCAGATGGAAGATCCGATCCTCTCAATCCGGGTCCATGGACATCCCCCGTTTTCCCGGAGCCCCGACCGAACGGCTCGAGGCTTCCGCTGAAACGGAAATCTGACTCTTCGGCCCAGCCTTGCGCAGCGTTCGGCTCTGGAAAGCCTCGGCTCACGCTCCAAAACACACGTCTGGGGTGTCAGAATAGGGGAATCCCCTAATTTGAGCGTCCTGTTTTTTCAGGGCACCCCTTGTTTGCTCCAAAATGGCCAAAACCCCCCGAAAATGAATTCAAGCTGCAGCTATTTCTTCCATCCACTGTTGCAGCTGGACGCATTGATCCACGTTTAAACAGAATCATTCAGGGCGAACCACAACAGTCCAAGATTTGGGCGTCTTTGTTTCAGGGCACCCCATTTTTTGGGTGGTGTTAGATGGACAACAAAAGGCCAACCCACCATGATTCTTGGGGGTTGCCCCACCAAAAGACATACCCTTGTCCTTGTTCGGCTCTTGAAAAGCAGCCTGAGAAGGAGATCAAGCTGTTGTTTCCCTCGCACAGGTACAAGGACAGGGGAAGCTGACATTGCTTAATGTTGCCCCCCATAAATCAACCCTCGTTTATTCATAGGGGAGGTGTTCCCCTCCAAAAGTGGTCTGATTCCCCACTAAACCCAACGACACCCCCCTATTAATTGGGGTTGACTCATATGGGTCTCAACATTATTGTGGACGATCCCATGAAATAACAAAGAACACAGGAAATGTCGCACCTTGCAACATGTGCAGGCTGGTACTATTGTGTCTCTTGTTCAACACAAAGAACCTTCCAACTTATGTAAACTTACAACTCGCATCTCACTGCGAAACAAAACCCGGGAGACAGCGATTGAACGCCCATATGCACGAACAAAGTTGTGCAAAACAATATGAACAAACTGATCGGACACAAGTCACCGGGTCAAATGTCAATAGAGCCACTACCAGAATGCTTCAAGTGGCCCGCGGTTGTTGGGTTCACTTGATGCATCCTTCGCTGACGCTACCACTCTGTTGCTGTTGTCGCCTTCCCACCAGTGCGATGTTCATTCGAATTGTCGGCGGGCTGAGCGAAATGAATTGTGATTGTGCCCCCGTGCATTGATCTTAAACAAGGACTCTCCTGCGAGGCATACCAGCCTGCAGAACACTTGCAGGAAGCAAAACACATCATGAAAAGCAAACAAACATGTTTATTTGTAAAGAAAGAAGAAAGAAGCAACACACACACACACAGACACATAAATAGAAACAAACAACAAAGCACATCAACCACCAAAGACAAAAAAAAAACCACGGCCGCTGCCAGCCACTTCATCCACGCAGCTGCTTCCGCTGGAATCTGCTCGGCGCAAGCTGCCTGGATTCTGAGCTGCTGAGCGTCATGTTGACCCCGGATGAATCAACCCGTCCTATCAACGGGCGGGGTGCTCCCTCCAAAAGTGATAAACTGAGACCAAAAGGGGTTCGATTTGTAAAGTTTAACCCCTCCGTGATTAAAGTCTGGGGTTTCCAAAAAAGCAATGAGACCTATGGGTTTTCACTGACGCTGCAAGTCACCTTGTTTCCTACTTGCAGTTCCCCTCCCCTAGGAGTCCACAACAAGACCCTGAACGAATGGACATCAGCATCCCGCGCGCCTCAACACTCACGAGTCACTGGCACTGGTCACGTTGAGCAAAATACAATGCCTGTTGATGGCACAAAAACTCACACACTTTGCAGGGGAGTCACGGGAATATGGCTTTGGCTCAAATGGTCGTAATCCCAGAACCATGCTGCAAGAATTAAGAAGCCGGATATCCGCAGCTATTTCTGGTCGGGATTGTCCCTAACCTTCATCTACCCGGGTTTGAGCACGTGGGTCAGGTGCCATTTGTGCCATGTTTTGCAGCCACAGCCATGTGTCAAACTCACCGTGCCCGTGTCAATAACTCAGACGCCCAGCGGCCATGAGAGAACAGGGTATCCTGTTTGGGTTGGTTGACTTGAAAGGAATCGGAATCCTTCCCAACAAAAAGCTGCAAAAAGGGGGCGAAATCCACTGGGCAAAAGGCCATGAGTCAAAACCCAAATCAAAAGCCCGGTTAGCCCCCCGTGAACATCCCAATCCAACCACTAAAATAGGTTCTAAAATGGGTAGTGAATCCACCTACCAACCAAAATGGGATCCCAAAACAGTTTTGACAACCACAGCCAACTGGGATTTTCAGCACACCAATGTGCATTCGCGCCTTGAGCAGCTGGGCGGTGTCGCAGTCCTCCCGTGACCAAGGCATCGATTCCTGAGGCGCGGGGCGAGCATGGCGCGCGGCGTGCGTTTCAAACGGGTCCCAAGGCGGCCAACCACAGGGCTGTGGAATTCTACCAGGTCCCTTCTGAGATTCTCTGGTAGGGATGCTCTCACAGAAAGTGGGGCTAAAGCCCAAGTGCCCACAACTTAACTTAACTATTGAGGCCACTGCGATGCAGATGGATTTCAATCAGAAGGGCCCGGGCCGCACCTAAACTCTCACCTGCTTCAGACCTGCAAGGCCCGCCTGCGCAGCTGAGCTGGCACTTTCGTCTGGATTCGCTTCTGGCTCCTCAAACGTCGGTGCACGAGCAAAGACTTGAATGAGCTCCTGACCTCAAGGCCACCCGAAAAAACAGGGGCCCTCATAGCCGCCCTTTCTGAAAATTTGGGAGCTGTAATTACAGCTGAGACCGCCACACACAACATGCCAAAACACCTCTACTAGGAATTCCTTCTTCTTTTTTGGCGCCGTCGAAATCCCCCCCAAAAAAAAGGTCCTCTCGCGCGCTGGGGATCGCCAGGCAACGCAGCTTCGGCGCCTTAGCCGATTCGAACTCAGCTGTTTCGGTCGACTCTAAGTGGGTGAGATCAAAAGTGGGGTAACATTTGCCCCAGCTGAAAGCGATGGGGGCTCAGCTCAGATAGGGTCCGAGGTGGTCTGTGGCGGCCCTGAGGAGGGTTCCGGGGAGGATTCCGGGTATCACCTGAGCGTATCTTGTGAGAAAGGGACCCTGGTAATTAAATGGAAACAAGGACTACCTGCGGCCCCCTAGTGGCAGAATTTTGACACATACCCGAATTCACCTTCCAACTAACTGCTGATGTGTATTTTGGTTTACTGTTTCTAGCTGATGTTCCATTTACTCTCTGCAACAACCAGGGGTGACTCTACAGGGTTTCACCCAAACTCAATGCCCAGGACTGTTTAGAGGATCGTTCTCTGGAGTAAGCCCTAATTAGCGCACTCAACAAGTCTAGCAGGTATCTGGGCGAAGCATATTCACTGACCTGAGAACACAATTCATTCGAGGGAAGGGAACATCCCTCATAGGTCATTGGTTGTTTGCCCTTTGCCCGGCCATTAAAAGACGCACCCGGCCGATTTGAACAAACTCGCGAGGTTCCTTCAAGACATGCTGCGCCGCCTCGCTTGAGTGGTTGGTACGCCCAGAGGGCGCTCTCGAATCCATGGAATGTCAAAGCCCCCTGAAGGTCCTATTTGGACTTCAAAGCCAACGAGGGAGCTTTCCAACCCGGCAAATCTCAGGCACATCCCAAGCACTTTCCAGGGTTTAATAGATCTAGTGCTACCAGCAAACAAGCTTGAAGTTGGTGTGAAATTTAAGGGACCAATTCTGGACATGGTGTCAAAAATAGATACCCAAATGGCAACCCAGGTCAATGGAAACAAGGACTAAAACCTGCGCTCCCCTGGCGGTCTAATTTTGACCTATACGCATTTACCAATTTATGCGTGGTCTGAATTTCGCGTCTGCCTCTTTGCCTCTGATCCGCCAAACTCGAGGGCCAGGCATAAGCTGCCGCAACGGGGCTGCCCACTTGCGGAACCTGATCGAAGCGAACCGAAGCCTCAACCAACACTTCCGCCGAGATGCGTCGGGACCACCAAACCAATCAAATGCCCGGCTTTCAGGCCATCCAGTGCGCATGGGACTTGCACAACAAATTGCCAAATGAGCGAGAATGCAGCATCCAACACAGCTGGACATCCCGCGGGATGGAAGAATGAATACGCTCATCAACTGTTGCATGGCACAACACATCGAATAAGCCACCCTTCGGTTCTTGTCCATTTTTTACCGACACGCTTGCACCTAAAGGCTAACATCATGGTCCATTGGGTGGATCTGCAACAGACCGAAGCTATGAAATGATGCTGTTGGAACCGTCCAAAGCCGGAATGTTGCGGCGTACGACTTGCAACTTGGTGAGGGGGGCGTGGCCTTGAATGTTTGCTCTCTTCGATGATCCGGAGCTCAAGCTTGGAATCCATCTACTTGCACTGCGTCATCTCCTGATTAATATATCTCATCCTGAAATATAAGGGCTTGAGTAATCAGCCGTCAACTTTATCTGCACAACCCTGAGTTGATTTATCATCCAGCTCAGCGATTGGCAAACGTCTGTGATAGGAAACGCCAGTCAAACGCTTTGTCTCCCGTCTCCAACGATCTAAATCCAGTTGACAAGTTGGCAAATCAATGCGAAACATGGGTCTGTTTCTTTTTTGGGGGACCCACAAAACGGCGAATGTTCCCTTTGTTTCCTCTAACACCCGCAAAGAAGGGGATGCCCTCAAAAACCGACACACCCCTGTGAAACCCGTGCGCGTGCCATCGGCCCCTTCGTCAGCGGATCTTCCCGCAGCGGCCTCAGCGAGCGGGCGTCGCTCACCGAAACGCTAGGCGTCTCAACGAGATGCTCTGTTCATGGGAGCTGGGGCGGGAGGGACTTATTTGGGCTCCCTCCCCCTCCCCTCCCTCCCCAGCCCCCATGATCTGTGAACGGAGCACTGGCAACATAACTAGGTCCTCCAGATTTGAGAGGTTAGAATAAGGGTACCGTTTCTTTTTTCTGTGGTCTATTTTAGTAGGGGAACCCTCCCCCAAAAAAGGGTGAGAGAGGGCACTACTGGGGGACCTAGATAAGCCGCGCAACGACGCAACCCCAAACAAGCCCATCTTCAAATGTAGATCTCAGACTCAGCTAAGCTAAGACAGGCAAAAACAAGGTGCGAAATCAGGACCCCCTCCATGTTGCTGCGTGGAAACTTCAGATTCGCCCTTAGCATTCTTCCAGGCCCGCAAACATGAATGGCTAGGCGGCAGCTGATTCCCCGATGTGTAGCACCCACAGAAGCAATAATTTTGTTCTGTTGCCCAACCACTCACTGGGCACCATGGATAAACTGATCATGATACATTGCCATGTGTTACGCATGAGAACCCGTCTCTGTGTTGTCTGAATGCCCCCGAGATCAGCTGGGGGCATCTGGCCACAGGGGTGGCGCGACCCACTCGCCCAGAAAGAGGCTCTCTTGGAACCTTGCCGGCGTGGCTGTCACGGTCGAAAGCCAGCCAACTTTGGACTGATCAGGAGCATATACATATATATATATATATATGGCCATGGGTCAAAAGCCCGTACCCCCAGTGAACATCCCAATTCCCACTAAAATAGACTAAAATGGGTGGTGCACCTACCCCAAAATGGTACCATTGGTTTTGACCCACAGCCATATATATATACACACACGATATTTGTTCATTAGCCTTCATGCTACCCTCAGGTCCGTTTCAGCGGGTGAGGGGTCAATCTCGGCAGCTGAATCCTTCCCTTAAAAACCGCCATGAATCGATCCATCGGTGTCGTCTCTTGGATACAATCCTCCCGCCGGAAGTTCTTAATATGGCTGCTGGCATTCCGGTTGCGCGCAAAACGCGCCGCACCAAACTGAGCTGCTCTTAGCCTGGATGGAAACAGGCAAGACGGGCGTGCCCTCTTTAATGATCGTTGATCTGATGAAGGACAAAATGGATATGCCATGTTTTTGAGGACGCCTTTTTTTGTAGGGTTTACAGGAAAACCAAAACTTGTGGGGTCTTCTAAACAAATATTATCCAATCATTTACGGGAGTTCGCTGCCATGGGGTGCCGTCGAGCCATCCCTTGCTCGCTACACAATAGATTGCTTCACACAACACAGACACAAACACTGCCACAAACACAGACACAAACACAAAACATTCACACAAATACAAAAACATAGAAAATGGCCAGGCAAGGAATGTAAGCAATGTTCAGATTCTTATGGAAAACTGCGCTTCTGGTTGCATATTGGTTAAGTTATTTACACGGAAACATCCCATCAGAGGCCGATCATTGAACGACCAGTTCGCATAAACCGAGGTATCCACTTAACAAAGGTACAGTGTACCAGGGAGACCAATTGCAGTAGCTACTGTAATTTGTCCCCCTGGCACACTGTACCTTTGTTAAGTGGACGCTTCTGTTTCTGCGAACGTAGTCTAATCAAGGACATAAACAATAGATTAAATCGAGGTCGCGACTCGTTGCCATGTACTTATTTACGGTGCGGATCCCAACATGGTCCCGGATCCCAACACTGTTCTCGCCAAAAAAAGAAAGCCTTGGAGACCGCCTTTCCCTGGCCGAGACGAAACCGGCAGAACCAAGAGCTCAAATGCTCAGTGGATTTCCATGGGACAGAAAGGGCATCCTTTTCTGGTTGACTTTAAAGGGGAACCCTTCCCAAAAAAAACAAGTTGAAAAAAAGGCGGAATCCGCTGGCTTGGGGAAGCTGAAAGGGAAACCAAACGGAACCAAGACATGGGTATGGGTCAAAATTCAACCACCAGGGTACCGCATGTTTGAGTCCAGAATTCCATTTGGGGTACCAATTTTGGACCCACAGCCACTTGCGAAGAAAAAAAACACTTCGAACCAAACGGCCGCAGGTCTCCATAGCACACCCAGCCCTTCAGCTCAGCCTCGCTCTCTTGGGCCCTTGCATTCGAACAGAGTGGATGGAGCTGGCGCTGGAGCCTAAGTCGTGGTTCTGAGTCTTGGTTGCTGTTGACCCCCCTGCAAAAAGTTTAACTTTTAGGGGGTTTGTGGAAAACCCCAAATGATTTTCAACCAAAAAGTTTAAGTCTACAGATCCGACCCAGCAGTCAAGGACTTTCGGGAGCCCAACCCCGCATCGCCCCAGCATAGATGACCCGCATCGCCCCAGGGTGCCTTTGGCTTTTGTGCCGCTGTCAGAACCATAAGGCCGCCTCTCGTCCCCACATTCGAGCACTTCTGGCCTTAGCTCCACCTCTTCTCGGGTTTAACGATTTAGATATTGCACAGAAGAGGCAAAAAACCGCCCAGATACTTCGCAAGCTTTCGACACAAGAATGACAGGCACACAGTACACAGTTGCACGTGTTTGATCTAAGAACACGTTTTTTGTTCAAGGAATTTGAGTTGTGTGACTTTCTTTGTGCTACCCAGCCGCCCCCTGACGTCTATACCATTTAGGCCCAACAACTTACTTGTGAGGTATCCCTTGTTCGCTCGTGACAATCATGAGCATCCGGCCACGAGAGGGGTTGGCTTGCCAAACAGCCCTTCAAGTTGACTGACGGGACGCTCCAAGACTCACACATCAATCCCCATCATGACTGTGGACACAGCTTTCTTGGCACCTCCGCATACTAGCTGAGCACAGCACCCAACAAGCGCGCTGTGCTTCCCAGATTTCCTCGGCTGCAGTAGACTACACAAAGTGTGTGTGTGTGTGTGGGTGGGTGGGTGTGTGTGTGTGTGTGCGTGTGGGTGTCTGTGTGCTTGTGTGTGTGCGTGTGTGGTTGTGTGTGTGTGTGTGTGTTTGGTGCTTGGTGGTTGCTGGGTTGATGGCTGGTGGCTGGTGGTTGGTGGTTTGTGGCTTGGGGTTTGGAGATTGTGGTCATAGATGGTGTTGTGTGTGTGTGTGTGTGTGTGTTGTGCTTTGTTTTGCGTGTCTGGTGATTTATGTTTTGTGCATTGTATGTCTGTTTGTGCTTGTGTTCGCGTGCGTGCGTGCGAGTGTGTGTGTGTGTGTTCTATAGCGTGTGACTGTGAGTGCTTGTGTGTGTGTGCGTGTGGGATCGTGTGTGAGCTTTTGTGAGTGTGCTTGTGTGGGCTTGTGTTTGCGCTTGGTGTTTGGCGCTTTGTGGTTGGTGGGTTGGTGGCTGGTGGCTGGTGGTTGGCAGTTGGTAGCTTGTGTGTGTGGTTTGTGTTTGTGTTTTGCGTGTTGTGCTTTGTGTTTCTGTTTGTGCTTGTGTTTCTGTTTGTGCTTGTTTGCGTGAGTGCGCAGGCGTTCACCTTGAGAAGCAGCTGCTTGGCTCTTTCGGCTGGTACGATCATGGCATGCTCAGGCTTCACTAAAACCGTAATGCCACTGGAAGAGGGACCCGGAGTCCAGCATGCACTTCTTGGAGACATGCCTGTTTGGCGGTGAGCTCTGGTCGGCCGTGAAGTCTGTGAACATGCCCAGGGACTTGTAGAAGAAACCATCAAGGGCTTCTTTGTTGGCCTTGGCATTGGTCCTTGTCTAAGCGCTTCAAAGCACAAGGCCAAGAAGGCGCATGGGCGTGGGCATGGGCGTGTGGGGGCGGTGGCCAGGAGGCCTGCGGGCGTGGGGCGGGGACGTGTGGGACGTGTGCAGAGATCCAACCGCCATCTCGGAAATGACTGATCACCCGCTGACCAGCTACCAGTACATACGCCCTACACAAACATCGCCTTACTTCTCAACCCTGCAGGTAGGGAAATGAGATGACATGGGCCAACCTCTTCCAGCATCTGAATATATCTGGCTGACGTCTGCAGTTCAAAGCTGGTATCCTTCTTGAGCAATGAGGCACTTTGGGCCTTAACTCGAGCTTCGGACTTGGCAAATCGTCAAGCCAAGCAGCCCCTGCCAGAGAACCACACGTGAGCGCAGGGCCTGCACCGAGAAGCATGTTGCTTGAAATTGCCAACAGATTGATTGAACTACAACATAGCGATATGCCATGTCTCGTATGTATCCACATGTGACTATATATGGGTGCATCCTCGTGCTTCAAGTCCAATTGTGCCAGATTTGGCTACTTCAGCTGCTAGTGAAAACTTAAATGGCACACACACACACACACGACACTGTTGCAGGGTGGCAGAATTGCACTGAACCCACCCGCTCGAAAGTCACCATGGGATGCCCTTCGAATAGGTCTACCCGGTAACCCTCTCGCGCGCGCCAGGCAAGCTCGATGTATCCAGGCTTCTTCCTTCGCAAGTAGGTCCTCGCGTCGATGTGAGCGGCCTGTTAGCCTGTTAGCCAAAGGCAGTGGGTAGAGGATGCTGGGATACTGTTTCAAGGGCCAAAGACTGTGCTGTCAAACCCGGGAAGCCTGGCTCAACTTGCCAACTTGAGGTTAGGAAAACCGAGAGCTGGTTGAAGCTTGTGCTTCGACCAAATGTCCCGCTCCATATAGTCAAGGGCACCCGATTTTGCGCCTACGGCCAGTTTTTGGTGTATCTCGTTGTTTAGTTTGCATTCCATTTTGGGGAGGGCTTGAACGAAAACTTCACGGCGAAGCCATGCACGCCAGGGTTCCCTTTTTTTGAGACCCAGACCGTCAAAGAGTCCGGGGCAGCACCCCCGAAACAAGCCGTGCTTTGCGGTGATGAGCACCCGAATGCGTAGCCGGCTACATGCACCCATCAAATGCTTGGCACCGAAGCATTTGTTTCAAGAGGCTGGGGCGGGGAAGTTGGTCGATGGATATGGTTCATGGTTCAGCCAACCATGCCAGGAGTCACTGGAACAGGCCTGGTTGAACTATTTCTCTGTGCAGAACATCATGGCACTTCCGTCAAAGACCCTCCTTCCCGTTCTGGCAACTGACAGGAAGGTTTTGGAAGACCGCCCTCGATGTCAACTACGACCTGTCCGACTCCATGACATATTGGAACCAAAGGGCGACTGAAAAGAAAGGTTTTTACGACAAAAAAACAAATACATATAGCCGGCCGCTTCATTCAAATACAAACCCGGCAATGATACACCACTTGGTCCCCATTTCCACATTTCGGCTGTCATGCAAGTGTCTCTGGTGATTCTGTTAGTTTCCCTGATCTTGGCCCCAATAGAACTAGGAAAGCCGCAACACTGGCCTCTAGTTCCCCGGAAACTGGAGGCCGTTGCTCATGAGCTTCTAAGCAAGGTCTCTAGTAGACAGGTGCGCACGCAATGACTTAACCAAACTGATGCTGGGCGAATACCTCTAGGGCTCAACATGTCTCGGACATTCACCATTTGTTTTTGTGAACAAGTGAGAAGACTTGAGCCTCACTTCGCTTCGCGCCCGCCGTCGCTTGGTCTTGGCTCAAGCTGAACTGCCAGGTTGGCGCTGGGCTCCTGGCCCCCTTGCGCCAAAGATCCTCTCGCAGTAGAGTCCATCTGGCCTCAGATTTTAGGAGACCCAAACACTAGGCATCAGCTTTTACTGGACTTTTCAGCTTGTGGCTCATCCTGTCAGTCAATATAAGTGCAGTTGTTTAACAAACGTGAGCTCGCCGGGATATGCACAGCTCTAGATTTTGATTCCCCATTCGTTTCAACCGTCGTTGTCAAAAAACAAAGCAAGCAACTGCCGTTTCCCCTGGAAGGTTTGATGGGTTCCTGAATCCCTTCGGATCGGATGCCGTTCAGAACAGCGATTCGGAAGCTTCCCCCAGCCAAGCGAAGCTTCAAGCTTCTGCGGATGGCGTCTCAAGAGTCTCAGAGGCAGGGTTCCACTTTTTGACTACCCCAAGATGGACTTAAACCCAGGGGTTCTCCTTTTGGAAGACATGAACCACCCCTGGGTTTAAGTCTACCTTGGAATAGTCAAAAAGTGGAGCCCTGCTCAGAGGTGCCCCTTTGTCCGAAGTCTGTGGGCCCCACAAGGCTTCCCATGAGTCCTGCATCTCCGTGTAGTCGTGCGGATGCAGCACTTGACCATTCGCCTGAAGCGGATTCAAGGTGTCGCCTCCGAGGCTGGAAGGACTTTTGGTAGGAACTCAATGGAAACACATCCTTTTGGGGATCCTTATCCTAAGACTCGGCGAGATAGACACTACAAGTTGATTCTGAATGAACCCCAAGCCATCCATACTGGTGTCAGCCACTTGCTGGTTGCATCGCGTTCTGCGCTTTCAGGTTCTGAAAGGGATTCTCCCGTGGTCACATGGCCATGGGTCAAAATCCAAATCGCACCCCCAGTCAACAACCCGATTCCCACTAAAACAGGTTCGAAAATGGGTGGTGAATTCAGCTACCAACCAAAATGGGATTGGTTTAAATGCGGGGTGCACCTACCAACCAAAATGGGAAACGGTTTTGACCCAATCCCATTGGCTTTGACAACCACCGCCAGATCCCGCCCCTTGACCCGGCTTTCATTGGCCTCGCTGAGCCTCCGGCACTGCCATCATCCCTCACCCTCGCCCGCTCGCCTCATGAACGAGCTACAGGCGCGTGTCAAGTGTCTAGGTGGGAACCGTGGTCAAGTAACCCAAGGAAAGGCCTGCGAGCCAATCCTTAGCTAGCTCCAGTAGAGAGGTTAGAATAAGGGTACCCCTTTTTCTGTAGTCAATTTTAGTAGTTAAAAGAACCCTCCACCAAAAAAGGGGTGAGAGGTCGGGCACCTAGCTGGGGCACCTAGTTAGAAGTTCCGGCGCAGTGATGATGATGGAGCACATGGCGACTGGCGTCGGAGCCGACTGGCCCGTACTTGGCTGTAGCCAGGGAAGGATTTTGATTTTGGGTTGGAATTGGTGGATTCGGCCAGACTCCATGCCCAAAAACCAAACCTAAACCACAAACCTCCTTGCCGACCAAAGACTTTTGCCAGCCCAACTAGCCCTCCTCTTCTTCTCTTGGCAATAGCAGCCGCCTCCTGGAAACACCTAACACAACCCCCGAACCCCCCCCCAAAAAAAGAAGAAGAAAGGGGGCGCAAACCTGATCTTGGTGGTGCCACGCACCACAATTCATTCAAAGACGGCTACAGTCTGTCGACAGCCGGCTACATCTATCGCACCCATGGCACTGCAGCTCCCCTCTCATGGAACCTATTCAAAGCACGGTGGCTGCGTTGTGTCTTTTTTTGCAGGGGTCATCCCAAAATGGTGGTTTGCTTGTTAGTTGCCCTTAAACACCATCGAACAAAGTTATATATTACCCCCAAAAAAGGACACCCCAACATAATCATCGGAAAATGCGTCGTTGGACACGTCTGGGCGTCAAGGGGAAGCCATAGAAAGCAGCCACCAAAAGGTCTAAACTGTCCGACCCTTTGAGAAATGGTTGATTCCCACAATATTGCAAGTGAACCAACCACGTCCAAGCACAAACCCTTGTAAACTGCAGGGCGTCCCGCTCACTGCTCACAACATTTAGTAAGACCAAGGTGGGCCGACCGAATCCGCCGCAGCATCTGGCCGCCCCAAATCTTAGACCCGCGCGAATTTGCGCCGGGGACAACAACCTCAGCTCCAAGTGGACAAACGGTTGCTGGAAGGCAACCATTGTCTTGGGAAGGCGTGTCTTGTCAAGTGTCCCCAAGAATAATCCCCTGTCTAAACGGGGATCCTTACAGTATACACCTGAACATTGCCTTGCAAATGATGGTTTCCTTTTGTTTTGGTGGAAAAAGCAATGTTTCAAATGGGCAAAATGCATCTTTTAAGGAGCCCTGCAAAGGGGAACAATAAGAGGGGCCTTCAACACGTCACCATGAGATCTGCGGCGAACCTGGCTTGGTGCTCCGATATGTCAAAACAAAACTTTGGATGCCACTGTCCGGAAGTGAGAAAGTCCTGGCCCTCATTACCAGATTCAACAAGCTTTGGTTTGATACAATGTGCTGACAGTTCTACAACACTCCTCTTGTTCTGGCTGGCATCTCTGTCTCTTCTTTCTTGCGACCCCTCGTTTCGGTGGCTTTAACTGAAGCCAAAAAGAAACCCTGTTACGCTATTTGGCCATGGGTCAAATCCCGTATGCCCAGTAAACATCCCAATCCCAACTAAAATAGGTTCTAAAATGGGTGGCGAATTCACCTACCATCCAACATGGGATCCCAAAACGGTTTTGAGAACCACAGCCATTTTGGCGCGTTCACGAAAAGACGGTCACCCAAATTTGTCCCGATTTCT